GGGGGGGTAATGGACGCCGGTGACCAGGATCTGGGAGGTCCCGGAGTTCTCTGGCTGGAAGCCGGGCTGTGGGAAATCCATCCCTGCCCTAGGCAGCGGCCGGTACCTGTTGGTGTGGAAGCGGTGGAGTGGGTCGGTGCGATGGCAGGAGGACAGCTGGCAGCCGAAGTCACTGATGTCCAGGCAGCCGGGCTCCTCGCTCAGGCAGGTGCCCACCCCGCGAGGGGGTCCCAGGAGTGGGAAGGGCTCCTCGGGGGTGAGGAACTTCTCGTACGGAGCGGTGGCCGACGCCTCGTCGGACATGGTTGGAGAGAGCCTGGCCCGGGATTGCTCTGTGGCTTGGAGAGGCACCCGCGCTGGTCCCTGCCCCCACTCTAACCTGTCCGCCGCCGCCGGGGTGTGCCCGCCTCAGCTCACCGGCAGGCTGCCCGCCGCTGCCCAGAGTGCGGGCCAAACGAGGACACTGCTCCAGGTCACCACGACCTGCCGGCTCCCCAGTGGGCGCCCCAGTGGCCTCAGCAGCTGCCTAGACCGCCACTGTCACCGCCACTGCCATCGCCACCGCCACCGCGCCGTCTCCGACAGTTCTGGCCCAGCCCAGTCCGCGCAGCGACACCGCCATCTGGCCCGGCCCGGCCCGCCCCGCCCCACCCACTGCGCTCGCAGCTCACGGAGGCTGCAGTCCAGCCGGTGCCCGCCGGGAGCGGAAGGGCAGCGGGAAGCCGCACCCCGTGCCCCCTGCCGGAGCGGAGGAGGAACTGAACCTTCCACTCCACTCGTCCGCGGCCCGCCTCGGCCCTGAGCCGGCCTCCCCGCCCTTCCCCGCCTTCCACGCCTCAAAGCTGAGATTCTGGGCGCTGGAAAGGCCCGTCGATTCTGGCTAACCTCCTGCTCCGCCGTTCCACCCGCGCTTAATTACTAAACCGAAACCCGAAGCCAGGAGAAAAGTAACGTAGCCAAGGTCACACTGCGGATGCGGGAGAAACAATTCTGATGCCCTGGCTCCCAGCATACTTGATCCCCCTGTGTCCATTCAACAAGTATTTCCTGGGTGACTGTGGTGTGGCTGCCCAATACTGTGCAATGAGCTACTATGCGGGGAAAGGACATATATTGTAAGGAGCCCTGATGACACAGTGGGTTACATACTGGGCCGCTAAACGCATTCCCTATAGTAAGAGAAGGAAACGTTTTGTTATGCCAAAAGCCATTTGAGTAATCTCTGGTGGCTTAATGGTTTCCCCGCTGGGCTGCGATATGCAAGGTCAGCAGTTCTACTCCCTTAAAGATTTGCACTCTCACAAACTCACAGGGGCAGCTCTACTCTGTCCTATAGTGTTGTGATGAGTAGGCATCAACTCAATGGCAGTGAACTTGGTTTTTGGATTTACCAAACATTTAATTAATAGCGTTGGGGTACTAACTATAGGGTCCGCCTTTCAAAACCACCAGCTACTCTGCGGGAGACAGACTAGGCTTTCTACTGTAAAGAATTGCAGTTTTCAAGTAGCAAAACCAGGTGGGTAAAGGGAAGGTGCGGGGAGGAAGGGGGAACTGATCACAATGATCTACATATAACCCCCTCCCAGGGGGACAAACAACAAAAAAGTGGATGAAGGGAAACATGGGTCAGTGTAAGACATGAAAAATAGTAATAATTTATCAATTATCAAGGGTAAGGGAGGGAGGGGGGAAATGAGAAGCTGATACCAAGGGCTCAAGTAGAAAGTGTTTTGAAAATTATGATGGTAACAAATGTACAAACGTGCTTGATACAATAGATGTATGTATGGATTGTGATAAGAGTTGTATGAGCCCCTGATAAAATGATTTTAAATAAAACGAATTATAGTTTTCAATGGCACTGATTTACACAAGTAGAAGTTGTGGAATTGGGGAATGTACTTTTGTGTATATTTTTGCCACAATTAGGGAAAAATAATTACATGGATAACAATGACTACAGGGAAGAAGAAAATGTCTAGAATTGAATATGATGACAATTGTACAACTCTTCTTGATATGACTGAATTATTGAATTGTATGACATGTGGACAAAGTCCTAATAAAACTGTTAAAAAAAAGAAATGCTGTCTTGGAAACTCACACAGGCAGTTCTATTCTATCCTGTAGGGTTGCAATGTGTTGGCATCAACCCGATGGCACTGAGTTTGCTTTGGTTTGGAATGTGATGCTTCTCTTTGGTGAGACATGTGATGTCAGCGGACATTGATGATTTCATAGGTCAAATATGGCCAAGGGCTGCACACTCCCCACCTCTGCAAAGATATACAGTCTCCTAACGAGCAGTTCTGCTCTGCCCAACAAAGTGGCTCTGAATCAATTACATAATAACAGTGGATTTTGTAAGATTGTGCAGTGGTGCCACTAGGGTCGGTGTCACCCAGGGCAGTAGCTCATGATGTCAACCTCCTACCCACAAAGAACCTGCTCCAGGACCAGATCATACAGAATCCTTCGTAATGTTTATTATCAAATTCAATCATAGGATATGTGTTATAGTTGCAAATTGCTTAAATATATTCTTCCAAAAGCCAAACTCAGTTTGCCATCGAGTCAATTCTCACTCATAGACACCCTATAGGACAGACTCGAACTGCCCCTATGTATGTTCCTATTGTAACCTGTTACACCTCATCTTTCTCCGATGGAACCGCCAGTGACTTCTAACTGCCGACCTCGTGGTTTGCAGTGCAACATAGAATCCAGGGCTTCTGTTGTATTTCTTAGGTTATATTAATACTGTACTCATACAAAATTGTTATCTAAAATCTTTCCACATTGAATTACAGCATTGTTAGTTACTTTAATTACTTCTTTATTTTCAAAACAAGTTATAGGTTCATGTTTATAATTTGAGGAGACCTCATGGTGTAGTGAGTTATACGTTGGGCCATTAAGTGCAACCTCAGCAATTTGAAATCACCAGCCACTCCTCAGGAAAAAGATGAGGTTTCCTACTCTTTTGTGGGCGTATCTGCATGTGGGCAGACCCGCCTAGAGATGGATAGAGGAGTGCTGTCTCGGTTCCTAAGACCATCAGAAATATATGTTTTCCGATGGTCTTAGGTGACCCCTGTGAAAGGGTCCTTTGACACCCCCCCAAAGGGGGCGCGACCAACAGGTTGAGAACTGCTGTCTTAACCCCATCACCACCACTACTGTACCCCCTCCCTCCGAAACTCTTATTCTACTTGTTGTCTTTATAGGGTCATCAATCCTGGGTTTAAACCAGCAATTCTTTACAATAAATGTTTAGCCTTATGAATAAGTTCATTATTCTGAACCTTGAGAAAAGCACAGAATTTAAAGGAGGTAGAAAGAATAGAAGGCATTCCAAGGGAAAGAAAGCAGTAAGAAGAAAGGGAAGAGTTGCCACACAAATAAGCCCCCCTGGATCTTACCCTGGTACCTCACCCTGACAAATTGTCAATGGTGTGCGGGTCAACTTTTCAACCACTCCTTCAAAATGTATATATTACTTTACTTCACTTACTTGGCTACTTAACTTGAGTAGGGTTGTCTCTTGTTTTTATTACTATTATTTAGTCCATTTTTTTGTTCAAGATGTACAGTTGGACCTACTCATGCATTTTCACTGGCCACTGTGGGGGTGGTGGGGGAGGGTGTCTCCGCCCTTGGTGTTCCTGGTGCCATTCCTTGAGCTCTGTGTTTTGAAACCAGCTTGATATGTCCTTTACTACGCGGCTCCAGCGGGCGGCCCTGGCCACGGAACTGTGAATATTCAGTCTCACAGAAACGACTGCTGGAGTGATAAGCTTATCATAGGGAACGTCTGTAACAGAGCTTGTCATATGTGGCTTTGTCAAGCAAGACCTAGTTATTGAGCTTGTGCCGACTTTGCCTTTAGACCACTCTTCTTCTTCGCCTTGCCTCCAGATTGATTGACTGGGTCTTCGTCTTTCTTGGCTGACTTTCCAGCATCCTTCGTCTTGTCCTTGGGTGGCCTCATGAAGAAGCTCTGAGAGCAGCTATCCCTACAGCAACCTCGCTAACATGTCAGAACTCTTTGGTCATTTAGATCGCAAGAAAGTAGGTGGCTTTCTCAATCCTCAGGGGCCTGGAGCTATGAGAGTGAAGGGGCATGGCTTCATCCCCCACAAAGAAGAAACTAAAATTTCCAAATGAAACAGAAGCCAAGTGCTACAGAATAATATAGGTATTCAGGTAATAATACCAGAAACTACTAATAAGAAGCCAACAAGAGTCGACTTGACAGGTCGCTGAATTAGGGGTAAAGGGGGTTATATCCCCAAATGCCTACTTTAAACGAAAATTCGCTGTCCAGGCCACCATAAAGTGGTTGCAGGGAAGTCAGGCACCCATCAGACACCTATGAGAAAACACCTACACAGCAGTGAGGTGACATCGCACAGGTGCAACTGAGCTCAGCCAATAAGGTTGGTCACTACCATCAACCACGCCCCCTCCGGTAATTCCAGGGGGGAATAAAGGCAGGGCCCAAAGTCCTGCTTGTTCTCTTGGCCTCTGGAGATTTCCTACATGCTCTGTACTTTTTGAGACTGGAATCCCTGAAACTTTCCTTTTCCTCATAAAAGTCACTTGAAAAGGGCTTCTGCGGGCGTGAATTCTTTCAGCACTGCAAAGCACGAACTGAGGTATATGACCCCAGTACATTGTACTGAAATACATGTCCATTTACATATAATAAGTGAGTGCTGTGAGTGTCTGGGGACACAGTCTTTGAATTTTCTATACCTATGTTTTTCTTTTGTGTTTAAGGCATATTCTGAAACACCCGAATGAGTTATAACTACCTGTTGCCATATACTTTAGAACTGCCTATAAATGAACATTGTTTTGCACACAATTTGGAAATTTGCTTTGGTGCTAAATTTGTAGAAAAGCTTTGTTAACATAGAATTTATAGTTTTGTTTACATTTCATTAATGTTATAAAGGAAAAAAAAGAATTTAGGCAAATACATGGGGAATGTGTTTCCTTTAAAGAGGGCCCTCCATATATTTTGCAATCGCAAAACACTGATACAGAAACTGGCAGTAGTAATACATAGTGTTTATAAAGTTTACTTAAATATATGCCTGTGGTTGTTAGGTCGATTTTCAACTCATGGAAACCTCAGGTGATATTGTCTTGTAGACCAGGGGTCGGTAAACTATGGCTCTCCAGCCCTATGCGGCTCTTTTGGTATGTCCATGTGGCTCTGAAGTAATATTGAAAATGAAAATAAAACTGTTATTCAGATAATGATGATTTCATTTGCTTGTAAAAATGCACTTATGGCTCTTGATTTTAGAGTTATTGTGAGGGACAGGATTGGTTCTTTCATCTCAAAAGTTTGCTGAGCCCTGCTCTAGACTATAATCTTTAGGCGAGTAGATTTTTAAGTCTTCCTCAAGTAGAGCTGTTGGGAGAGTTCAAACTCTGACCTTTTGGTTAGCAGCCAAGAGTTTAACCATTGCACCAACAAACCCCCAAGC